CACAACACGAGGAAATGTTGGGGCTTTGCATCCATTGCCATGGTTCTCAGCATTTCATGCACAGCTATTCAAATGTATTATTCCAACCTGATATTGAAATGCTTCTGAAAATTATGTGCAGGACTTGAGGGAAAATATCTTTACAAGCATCCAGGGAGGCCTGGGATCCTGTCATAAAAGGCAGTGGAGAGTTGACTCAGGCTTCATTCAGTGCTGAATAACGACTAGATCCACTTAGAAAATGGAAATGAATCCACTTGGGAAACGTCAAGATTCTCTGGAAAGGAATCAAGGTCACATTCTTTAACCCCTCACAAGAGGGGTCTATCTTAGCTCACAGTGGGGAGCAGAAGTGGGAAATGCTGCATTGTAAAGACCATCCCCAAAGTTTACTGGCCGATTTCACCACAACATCCCACACAGGGTTTTCAACCCTAATCTTTAGGACCAGTGGTTCAAACACGGAGCTCCTTTATTTCAACACAGAATTCAAAACCTCAGAACTGCTTCAAGAAGGAAAAAAAAATGTCTCTAACAAATAGAATATAATTTAAATAGTATGTTCAGAAAAGGGTATTTTAGATGTATATTCCTTGGGGTTAACTTTCACTTGTTTGGAAGAAAAGTGATACACACAAATTTAATATTTTAAACAACCTTTTATTCCTAAAACAGGTTCATTCCCACTACACATGCTCATCTAGGCAGGCACAACTGTTGAAATCGTCTGCACAGACGAGGACAAGGCCAGTGTGAGAGCTCGCCTGGTGCTCACTGCAGGGCTGGCTTTCTGACTTGACTGAAGAAGTTACTTTGGGGATCTGACAAATCCATACCTACGGTCTCCTGATCCGATGCTTTGGGGTCAAGTGTATGGTTTTACTGATATTTGTTTAATTAAAGAATTAAGATTTTTGATAAGCAACTGTAATGGCAATTATAAAGTAGCACATGGTAATATTATGCTGCATAATGAAACTTATATTTAAATGTAATTAAATTTGAGCCCAGTATTGAGTAGTTCTTGACAATTAAAGGCAGTAACTTCACTCACTCAAATATATGTCTATGTCTACACATAGACATATATTTGTTCCTTGTCTTGTTAAATACAGAACCCAAATGAGAAGGAGTTCAGCAGATTTCTGAGATTTTTAAGTATATCATTAAATTGTAATACCAATTATATATGGTTAGATTTCTGTTCTGAGTAATTAACTGAATTAACTTCACGTTACAATGCTTAATTTATTTTGTACTTAGAAAAGCTTTAATCCATTTAACAGAAATCAGCTTAATTTTGATTTTTTACTTGTTCCAATGTGTTTCAATTCATTAGTGTTTCAAGAACAAGGAATGAATTCTCTCGTCTTAACAGACCAAACATGGACATTTGCTCATAAGAGAAAAAAAGAAATTGAAATGACTTCCATGTTCAAGTCATAGCATGCTGAACAGAGGATTTCTGGCCCTTAGGAAAGCATTTGTTACCTCAAAAGGAGGGCGAGTCACTAGAACTCTGTGGAAATGTTACAGTGGTGACTGCCGAGAAGGAACTCAAGGAAACTGAGAGAGGCGGCCCGGATCCGGGCCATTCTCCTGGGCACAGAGGTTTCCTTCCTTTCTGTGCTCTGCCCTCACCCAGCTCTTTCTGCAATCAAAGGCCACCAACATGCACAATTCATGCTAAAAATCCAAACAAGACACCAAAAGCAAACAATTACCTGTGATCCCGTTGTTGTCCCCAAAGTGTATCTTGAGATATTTCATTTAGAGACCACCTATATTTTCCATACATCAAAAGACAGTTTTTATGACTCTTGCTTTTTACTTATTTATTTTTTTGGTACATGCCCCTAGCTGCGGGCCTAGCGGGAACTGAACCTGGGACTCTCTGGTCCATGGGCTGACGCTCCAACCACTGAGCCAAACCGGCCAGGGCAGACTCTTACTTTTTATAAAATGAGAAACATTTTCCTACTTTTATATTAAAATAAACAAACAAAGAGCTGCAGCACTCACTCCTCTCTTCCCTGTCTGCCCCTTTGCATTTAATAATTTATATGCATATCTGGGTGACAGTGAACCTCCAGTGGCAGAGAAAAAAAAATGTTTAAGAAAACCAGACTGTTCTCAGACATTTCTTGTTTATGGACACACACACACACACACACACACACACACACCACCAACAAAAATCTACAGCAAAACCCAACCCGACCTATTAAAAAGTCACCCGAAAGCACATGGAGACGGCCTAGAAGCCATGCCACTGAGGTCAGGGGGTTCAATGTTTTAACAGTAATCAAAGTGGATGCAATTTCTTTTAAGCATCAGTTATGAGGACTCGAATATACATACATTTAACTTGGGTTATTAAGTAAGTGGTTGAAGAATTTGTTCCTTTTTGACCACGTTTATTGACAGGGTCTCAGATTTTCAGTTGCTGAATTACTAAGATTATTAAAAATATCAAAACACATACCACTCTCAGCAGTAGAAAATTCCTCATTTCCCACCTAATAAGCAACAAAAAACCTGGCAGCCATTTTCCCTTTTGTACTTCCAAATATCCAAAGAATCACACAAGCACTGAAGTAACAAGAGACCCAGGGGTGTTGCAGACATATGGAAGGAAAAAAATCCCTCAAAGGCAAAATCCCTTGAACACACGCCGCGGTGTGGAAGCAGAGAGCTGTCAGCCCATTGATCCTGTTCAAGCCCGTGTGCATGACGGCTGTGAGAAAGACCATTTCAATCTGCAACCAATGGCACTATTTTCCCTCTTACATCACAGTAATTATTATTTGCACAAATACACCAAATTCTAAAGCCAAGACTTTTCTTAGAAGAAAATCATTAGAAGTGTAAGAATTGGCTTTAACCATCACACCGAGGTTAATGAATGAAAAAAAAACTTCTCATCCAGCCGGTGTGGCTCAGTGGTTGAGCACCGACCCATGCACTAAGAGGTCGCCGGTTCCATTCCCAGTCAGGGCACATGCCCAGCTTGTGGGCCAGATCCCCAGTGGGGGGCATGCAGGAGGTGGCCAGTCGATGTTCTCTCTCATTGATGTGTGTCTCTCTCTCCCTCTCACTTCCTTTCTCTCTGAAATCAATAAAGGAAAAAAAAATTAAAAAAACTTCTCAATAAAAACTTTCTCTGGTGCCTTCAGTTCAAACATCTCCTTCTAGTTCTGCAGCTATTGTTCTGGTATGGCTGTCTTTATTCTAGACTCTGCCAGGGCGCTTATTGTTTCCTGGCTTATCACCTGGGTTATTTGCCCCTCCACCCCCCATTTAAACTGTTCCAATAATGTTTCTGTTTAAGAAGATTCAATGATACACATGGTCCTGTTTTTGGGGCCCGTGATGGGCCACAGAAATCCATGTTCTACCACTTCCTCAAGGGGTTTGCGTTCTGTGCGGTCTACCCCTGCTAGATGGGCAGAAAATGCTCCACTGTGGTTAGTATTCTGTCGGGCTCCCTCTTCTCCTGCAGAATTCTTTCATTGGAATCAGCTGGAGAGGAAAAAAAACTCGGAGGGAAGAGGACAAGATGCCAGTGGGTAGGGCCATGTCCCTAGGGGGTGGTGAGGCTAGGACCACAGAAGGGAACAGGTTTCTAGGCACGGTTTAGATCAAAAGAACAGCATCTTTATCCATGGACAGGTGTGGTGACCAAAACTGAACTTCATTACCTAAAATGCTGCCAATGAAATATGGTTGCTTCTTAATTGAGTCTTAGCCTACAATACAAGGTGGGGAAGAAGACATGGGGAGGGACCGAATGAGCTGGGAGAAGCCACTAATTAGTCTTAAGTATGAACTTACACTGTCTGTTTCCATATTCTTGTATTTTGTTAGGCTTTTTCTAGGTTATTTTCTGCTAACTCCAACATATTTGGGAATATACTTGATTTTCCTTGTTACTAAGGAGGTGCTACTTCAAAGGACCACCCAACGTTAAACACACAAAAAAGATATAATTGATGGGTGGCCTTTAAAGATGATTTCTTCCCTATTTTAAAGTGAAATTAAGAAAATCTTCAGAAGGTGTCCAAAATAAGTCATTGCTATGATTCACTACGTGACATTTCAGCAAGCTCACTGGAGACATTACTTGGTAATACTGCAAATCTAAGGCTCCAGTTTTGAAAACTGAAATGTCCGTGAAGCCTTCCAAATAGGAGACAGGAAACTCTGGCCACCACGTTCCCCTTGGGTGCTGGTCCATCCTGAACCTAACCAAATCTTAGAGGTAGGGACAGGGATAGGCCTGAGCTATCAGCAATGATAAGTCTCCGCCATGTCTTCTAGTGCTGGGCCAAATTCCACATGAAAGGTCTTGCCAATCTTCAGGTAACAACTCTCTGGGTGCTGTGGCCCCCATACTTAAGAACCTAGGTGCAGAGTGACTCATACACTGAACTCAGATGCTTTACAAGCTGGAGGGAGCATGAGGTGCATGTGTCCACACATGGCCCCAGCAGATAAGCAGGAGGCCATGGTAGCCAGGCTGGTGGAAATAATTGCTAGGGAGTCTCCAACTAGTGTGGTGGGTCTCGAACTTGAGTGTGTTTCAGAATCACCCAGTTTCTCATTCAGTAGGTCTGGGGTGGAGCTCAAGCTCTACGTTTCTAGCACATTTTCAGACAGTGAAGATGGTACAGGACTAGATGTTGAGAACCACTAGCCCGAACCTTCACTGCTGCCCTACTCACCTGGGGAGCAGGCAGAGAAACTAGCCCTAGCCGTGAGCTGCAGCACCATGGCACTGTCTCCACAGGGCCTCACACAGTCTGTATAGTAATGTGCCCCGGAGACTGGCTTCTTCATACAGTTCTTCACGAGTGGGGTTGTCCCTGACAAAGTAGCAATGTTGTCAGAACAAGCATATAGGATCCTGGAGGTGACTGCTTTGAAAGCTAACCTTAACACAGAGATGCATTTTTCTATTTTAAAATGTCATTCGAATTCCTTTGAAATCACAGCATCTATACACACGTCTCACTTTTCATGGGTCTGGCCACTGTGCCCCTCAACCACAATTCTGCAATCCTCTGTAGTGGGTCAGTGGCCTCTTTCCTACTTCTTCCTTTTCTTCATTGGGCTGGCCTGGATTGCAGCGAATCTTTCAGTGTTTGTGGCTGAGCCGGTTTGCTCTGCCTTCCCTGGCTTGCTTTTCACAAGATGTCTGGAGGGCAGATTTTCCAAAACATGCAACTCTTCACTAGACATGGTTCTTACCAAATCTTGTTTCAAAAGTAACCCCGGATCTGACAGCTCTATAGTGGGCAAAACCTTGACTGCTTTGCTTTTTTCCACTATTATTTCTCTCGGGAGGAATCGATCACTTCCAAGAGAAACTCTCTTGCGGTGGTCGGAGTCCTCCGCAGAGCCGCGGTTCCTGCGTTTCTGTTGTGTTCTGGCCCCTCGTGGACTTTGTTTTGGACCTGGTGATGCTGACTCACTGCTCCAGACAGGGCTCCCGCTTAGAAGCCCTGTCTCTAGCCACTCCCCAGGATGAGGTTTTTGCTGGCTGCTGGTGTCTTCTGGCTGGGTCTGATGAACATTTTCCAGCTTTTGAACAGAACGCCTCCAGTGACGCCCAGCTGCCTGTGTGGAATCGCTTGCTTGCCCCGTGGACGCGGAAGGGGCACTGGATGAAGCCTGACCGGCACTTCTCACGGCCATCTCTGCAATCACTGAGTCACCTGATGTGCCCACAATGTCCCCGATGCTCTGTGATTTGCTCACGATGCTGCCTTTTGTTTCAGCTCTTTTCATACTGGGAAAAAAAAAAAAAAAAAGATTTTTGTTTTGTAATGCTGCAATGGTATGGTTTCCTCCAAATTCCCCTCACCACATTTCCTACATCTGAAGAAAGAAGGCATGCACTGTGCTGGCTTCTCCCTGGCAAATCTAGAAAAATCCCCAAGTGTATGTTTAATTGCAGACTGGACCAAATAAGAGCCTTCACCTTGTCCAATACACTGGGATACACCAGGAAACACTTTACTTACTGATCATTGGGTTATTAATGGAGTTATAGTGAAGTTCATATTTTAACAAAAATAGGTACTCATTTCCAATGTTAAGGGTCAATTTGATATATTGATTTTCCCCCCAGAAGTAAATGCTCAAATACATCCAAAGTAAAGGTTGTGTTTATGTGTGTCTCTATGTGTATGTGTACAAGAACATACTTATACATGCACAGACACACACAATTTCTAGTTGTAAGTAAAGAATAATCTGGAATTCTTTCAGGCCATTTCAAGGTATTACTCAAATATAATCACATTTAGCTGCTGTCAGGCTTGTTCACTAACCATTGGAAATAGGGTTCAATTAATATACCTTGAAATGTCCTGGAAGAAATTCCTGAGCGTATTCAAGGAAAGAAAGCAGAAGCATGGCAGACACAAGTGAGAGTGCATACACATACACACACGCACATATGCACATACAAACCCCTTTTCTACAGCACACACAGTAGACAATGCAAACTTTACTGGTTGAAAAATTACTTGAGGGGCAGGACAAAAACATGGGAAGAATTTAGACTAGACACTTTAACTTCAACATATGTTTGCAGGCCTGTGAATGGTCAGAAATTTCTTAAACCACCAAACTCAAAACAATGAAGTTGAAATATTTATTTTGGCAAAGCTTTAGTCTGGAAAGAAATATACAGATTCATGTTCGTACTGTTGCTTTCTGGGGCATGAGGATTATGATAATTATGTTAGGGTCGGAACAAGCATCTTAGAAAAGGAATGTATTTTTTTTTTTAGATCTGTCTGTAAAGTTGTATGAAACATACCACCAACAGGTGCTTTTCATCTTCAAAGCGCTTGTAATTAATTACTCCTTGCAACACACCTGTGAAGCAAGGCCTGGCTTCCTGCTGTCCAGAAAGAGAGGAGAGTCAGGAAGGTGGAGGAGCAAGTGTGTGAGCTGAGGCGGGCTCAGTGCCAGCGGGCTGTGGTTACGCTCAATGTACTCTTGTTGAATTCTAGATTTCATGTCATGTATCCATATGTACAGACAGTCAAAAATGAGAAAAAGGAAACACATTGGACCTACATTTCTTTCAGAGTGTTTCTCTTGAGCTCTGCACTGGGAGGAAGTGGACTCTCTGCACACTCAGCAAAATAATCAGACGCTCCATGGAGAGCTCTTTCCGTCTATTCCAAAAGATAACAAAGGTTCAAACAGAAATCTATTAGCTGAACATGAGAAAAAACAGTTATACGCTGAATGTCCCAGTGAACAGATTTATTTTTGTGAGGACTAGATGAAACTGCTTAGTGTTAGGCTATTTTAATTTTTTAAAATCTAGAACTTTTTGGTAAGTTGTCACTTCTTCTGAGTTCCCAGCCCATACTTCATACATTAATATGTGCCACAAATATACAAGACTGTGACAGAAAGGATGTTAATTCCAAACCATCTGGGAACTCTTGGCCAATACGCGATATCTCTGAGCCCCACACTGTGACAAAGCCCAGAATCATGACGCCAGGCAGCAGCATGTTTTCGCGCTCTGATCTTCCAGAGACCTGGTGGTGCAGCGGTTTGTACCCTGCTTATCCTAAGAATTCCCCACATCTCTTCTTACGAAAATACAGAATGTGACCTTTGCAGTGCTCAAGAATGCACTGTGAGTTAAGCTTTCTAATACTGGTACTTTAAAAACTGGAGTGTGAGAATCTTGGCTACTAAAAACTGGAAGTTTTGTTTTTTTCTTAACTGAACAGCATTACCGTGGTTTTAGAGAATTCATAGATTATCTCTCTATGCAACCTTACATGTTCTCATGGAAGCATCACTAGGAACCAATTATAAAATGTAAAAACCTCCCAACTTTCACCATTGTTGACCCATTTCATACTCTGGAATTATTTCCTTTGTCTAGATAATCTAGACAAAGTGTTAATCTCTCTCATTTTCTGGGACATCAAATACCCTCCTTGGTCAAATTCCATCGTAAAATGCTGCTGCCACAGGAACAGTTCTAGTGAGCGAGCATGAGGTTCTGGCTGTAGGCATACAGTGGCGTGGACGATGACAGCCCCAGGGAGCCTGGGAGAGCCCTGAGTAATGCCTGGTGTCCTATATCCCGTCCTGCCCTAACTGTGGTTTCAGACCTGGACCAATGTCACCCAAAGTCATAGCCAGTTACAACCTATGTCAGCTTTAAGAGTTAGTGAACAAATTGTTGCAGATTTTATTGGATTATACTGCGTTCTGACACTTTTCCCTTTTCCACCTCCAGGACTTACTAGATGACCAAAAACAGCTCCAGTTTAAAAGTTAAGTGAGAGAGATTGAGATTTATGTGTGAAACACTTCTAAACATGCCCTATAAGTACAGTAGATTTCCCCCTCACAACCACACCCTGTAAGTGCTGTATTTTCAGAGCTGAACAATTAACATAAGGAGCATGAGTCAGGCTTTGAACAACTCTGTGGGAACCAGAAAGCCTTTTGCTATTAGGAATGATGTAAATTCCCCAAGGCTGGAAGAAGTCCACAATGGAAGGCAGACAGGGTCATAAATAACAATGGAGACTGTGGGGAGCACAGAAAGCGGGATGCCGTGATCGTGACACTTTGGATCTCATATTGGATCCAACCACGGCCCTCATTTATTTATTTTAAAACTGAGTTTAAAGAGCACTATGCATGTCCTATGGGAACTTCAAAAACTTCTTTAAGAAACAGGATGATCCAGTCTTGTCCCAAATTCCTCTGACAACAAACAATAGGGGAAAATGTCCTTGGAAGAAAAAGGACAACAGAAAAAGTGATGGAGTGACAGAAGGAAATGTCCAGTTCAAAAAGTGCAAAACCTGTGACTTCGTTTTAAAAAAAAGAGAGAGGAAAGAGAAAGAAGAAAGAAAAAAGGCAAGGCGGGGTCTTCTACTCACAAATTAAAACCACATTTGGCAATTTGTTGAAGGAGGCATATTTACATTTGTATGTAGACTGGGTGGGCAGGGAAAAAAGAGATTAGACTCCTTCAGCCCTTGAACTGTCAGATCTCATTAGAAATCGCTCCTTCTTACACTTCCAGGGTCAATTCATTCCCCTTTGTCGCTAATCATAGCCTCTGCTGCCCCCCAAACAAGTACCCCAGAGGAAGCAGCTACCACCTGGGAACAGGATTTCCCAAGGGAGTCGTCCTGATTACTAATGGCTTCTCACATCTGGTGTCAAAATGCAATCCATGGCTTATCCAGAGGCAAAACTCTCAGGTGCAGACAGCGTGTCCTGGGGTTTCCAGTGCCTCTCAGGCATACCAGGATGACACTATTCCTTTTTAGATTCTACCCTGATAACCTTCTGCAAGGAATCCAGAAAAACCCAACATAAAAAAGCTACCAGTTAGCCATCTAAGTCCAGAATGAGCACCCTATGGGTGTTTAAGAAACAGACGAACCAAGATGGCCTCTTTGGGCTGCATGAACGAGCCTGCACAACCTGGAAGCTAGCTGAGTCTGTCAAGGAATAAAAATCTGCAAGCATCATTTCCTGGTCATCTGCACCCCCCCCCCCAATTTACTTATTTTTATTTGGGGTGATACTGGAGGATTTTAGTTTTGAAACTTTATACCTGTAAAACGTGTCTAGATATAGTTCCAGGATAAAACAGAAGAGAAGTAGGGCAAGGCCACCAGCCCCAGAAGAAATTCAGTCTAGGAGGACACCCTCCTTGGCAGCTTGGGCAGACCAGGGAGACTTCCAGACAAGGGGTCAGGCCTTATCCCCATCCCTGGGGATGCTCTGGAGACCAGGGAGGCACCCTGGGGTCGAGGACAGCCAAAGCACACGTGCCCCAGCACAGGTGCAAGGGGAGGCTGAGTAGGTTAGTCTGAGTATGATGATGGCTAACATTATCCTGATGCTATCTGGTCTGACCTGGGAAACACATTTTAAATTTCTGGATAGAAGAGCCTGCAAAGAAAGCCCCCATCAGAATAAGCTGGGCAACTAAGACTCACTTCTTGCCTCTAGTCAGAAAGTAAACTAGACTGAAATATGGCTATAAATATTGGTTGATAGTCAAGTTATAAGGGCAAGTTGAAACTGTGGATAAATCCAGGCATTCACTCCGCAGTGACTTACTAAATACTATTTTTGAACAGAACACGGTTGGATTAGTGTGGGATGGGGAGAGAAGCTGGCCTAAAAAGACATAAAAGCGCCTGCTCTTGAGTTTACTGCCTCCTTGAGGAGTCTGTAAAACATGGCCAGGCTCCCAAAGGCTAGTGAGAGACTGGCTATCAGAGACGGCATCAGAGGCACCCAAGGAGGTTTTAAAAAATACAGATTCACAGGACTCATCCCTGGAAGTTGATTCACAAAATCTAGGGCAGGGCTAGGAGGTCTACATGTAGGTTCCCAGGTAATTCAAGAACTGCTGCCCTGGCCGGTTTGGCTCAGCGGTTAGAGCACCCACCTGCAGTCCGGAGAGACCCGGGTTCGGTTCCCGCTAAGGGCATGTACCTTGGTTGCAGTTTGTCCCCGGCCCTGGTTGGTCGTGCGGGTGGCAGCCACTCGATGTGTCCCTTTCACATCGATGTTTCTCTCTCTCTCTCTTCCTCTCCCTCCCACTCTGTCTGTACAAAAAAAAAAAATGGAAAAATGTCCTCGGCTGAGGATTAAAAAAAAAAAAATTAAAAAAAAAAAAAGAACTGCTGATACATATGAAACAACACTCAACAGAGCAGAGAAACATAAACAAATGTAAACTGGTACACTGAGGCAGCGTTTGCAAAGTGTGGTCTGGTTACCTCAGGCATCAAAATCAACGGGAGCTTGTTCAAAAATGTTCTGGGCTCTCCCCCAGAATCTACTGTGTTTGCATCTCTGGGGGTGGGGGTCAGGACAGGTGTATTTTAGTCAAGTGCCCCAGTGAATCTGAAACCCGCAGAGTTAAACTTCTGTCCTAAAGAGGAAAAGAATGGGTAACAGCAGAGTCCAGCAGAATCACAGAATTCTGTATCAGGCACTGTTTGAGGACCTCGTGGAACAGGACTTGGGCCCAAAAAAACCACCCTTGCTCTCATGAAGACTCCATTGCAATGGGGAAGACAAGAGACAAGCATATATTATGTGATGATGATGCTATGAAGAAAAATAAACCTCTAGAGCAGCGGTTCTCAACCTGTGGGTCGCGACCCCTTTGAGGGTTGAATGACCCTTTCACAGGGGTCGCCTAAGGCCATCAGAAAACACGTATTTTCGATGGTGAGTCATAACAGTAGCAAAATTACAGTTAAGAAGTAGCAACGAAAATAATTGTATGGTTGGGGGTCACCAGAACATGAGGAACTGTATTAAAGGGTCGCAGCATTAGAAGGTTGAGAACCACTGCTCTAGAGGGTCCTGGGTGCTGCTTTAGATGTGGTGGTCAGGGAGGGCTGTGGTCAGTAATAAGGTGAACTTTACCCAGAAAACTGATGGAGAGAACAGCCATGTAAACATTTGAGGAAGAGCATTTCAGGCAGAGGGAAGCATGAACACTCAGGACACAGAGTGCCTGGCAGCGGAAAGCAACAGGAAAGCAAATCAGAGGAAGGTCAGTTAGCAGGTAAGAGGGGTGTGTGTGCGCGTGTGTGTGTGCACACTGGTGGTGGTGGGGGCAGCAAATATTGTGTATCGTTTTTTTAAGTATGGCACATATATTATGAGACAGTCACCAAGAAAAGGGACTTGACATTTTATCTTTTTTTAAAAAAAAATGTGTTTATTGACTTTCTAGAGCAAAAGGAAGGGAAAGAGAGATAGAAACACTGATGTGAGAGAGAAATATCGATCGGCTGCCTCCTGCACGTCCCCTACTGGGGATTGAGCCTGCAACCTGGGCATGTACCCTGACCAGGAATCAAACCAGGACCTCTCTCCGTCCATGGGATGACACTCAATCCACTGAACCACACGGGCGGGGTGGGACTTGACATTTTAAAAGCATTATCTTGGCTAATAAAACAATCCCACTCACAGTGCCTAAAAAACAACAACAACAACAAAAAACCCCTAGGAATAATTTAACCAAGAATATAAAAGACCTATACTGAGAAAATTATAAGACACGGAAGAAAGAAATTTAAGAAGATATAAATAAGTAGAAGCACACACCGTGTTCACAGATATGAAGAATTAGCATCATTAAAATGTC